TGGCCTGTATTTTTCTCATAAATCTTCTTCCCATGTACACTTTTGAAAGCATCTTCTTTCTGCATTAACTTCATTTTTCATAATTGACAGTGTGCAATGCTGTGGTCCACCAGGGTACTCCTTTTATGTTGTTTTGTTATATTATTATTTGTAGAGCTAGAAATGTTATCACAAATCTCCTGAATCCTCTTTTTCCATTTTTCTATTAGTTTGTTTAGGTGCACCACATCTATTACTATTCTAGGATTTATTTCAAAGAAGAACTTTGTAAATTTTTCCTTTAAACTGAGCCAGTATATTTTTTTAACATGTACTGCCCTCTCAACCTAGGAAAAAACTTTGTTCAGCTAATTTCAAAAGTAAAATAGTAATGATTGCTACATGTTTCACAATTTAAGACCAGTCCTTTATACATACCATGTTTGAGGGAGAGCGAGTAACTGTGACATCAATACAAATAGAACCCCAACTACAACAGTAAGTCGGAAGACTGCCTGAATCATTATCCACATATAATCCATTAGAGATTGTAAACTCTTTTAGCAGACAACCACGTGTGTCTTCAAATGGTGAATCCCGCAGTTCACTCTTTGCATTGAAATCGCCTAAAATCAGCATTTCATTATTATTAATGAGGAAGCCTTCTAGCTCTCTCAGCAGTTCTGTCATTTCAGGGAAGTCCACAACCAGAGAACTATAACAATTCATAATTGTAAATCATTTTTGTTTCAGTTCCATATATGCTACAGTCAAATTTTTTGTGGTATAATTATTTATTAAATTTAAGTTCAGATTTTGAACTACTGTAGCCACTTGAGGTACTGAGTCAATATAATAAATAAAGTAAAGAGGAAATCTGGAATGTTTCCCATCTATACGAAATGGTTCATTAACAAATGCCAAATCATATTTTTGTAGTTCTGTTTTTAGATGTGCTATAGCAGCTTGAGAGCATGCTAAGTTAATCTGAATAGCTGTTATTTGATTCCTGGCAGAATTATTATGCATAAATAATTCTTTTCCTTATAGTTCACCTATTTCTATCTGTCTTGAAGGACAGATTTTTGAAAAGCTTCAATGGTTAGAATCAAATTTTTGGATATTACTGGCATTTCTTTCAGCACAATTTATACACTTATAGTTTTGATTTTTTACAACTCTTAAAGTTATGACAAATTTATTGGCCGTGGGCCTCTTCTGTCTGACAATTTCTTGAAGTGTGTCCATATTGGCAACCTTTATAGCATTGCATAAGTCTTATACATTCCTTTAAACTATTCCCAATTCAGATGGAGTTTCCTAATTTTCATGAAGTTTTTAAATGCTTCTGGTGAAGTTTCTAGTACCCAGTGATTTGTTTCCATTTGCTTTATTGGAAACTTTGTTAATAGAATTCTCTGACTTGTTTCTATCATAAGGCCTTAAGACCTTGTTCAATGTATTTAATTGCAATTTTCAACTTTATTTTATCAGTGCTTTGCAGAAGTTTCTTTTCAATATTTCCTTGTTTGTCCCCTTCTAATGTGGGGTGAAGAATAACAATATGCTGTTTTGCACTCTTTTTCTTTACCTCAGAATGGCCCCATGCGAGATATTTAGCTATATCTGCATAAGTCTCTGTCCCTTTTTTCTGACACTTGTAGTTTACAGAGTCTTTCCATCTCAATACATTGTTCAGTTAGTAGAGATTAAACATCAATTGAAATTGATGTCAAATATTTGCAGCAATTCCTTTGTTTGCACCTAAAGATTTATTTATAAGAATAATTTTGAAGTTCACTAAGTAAGCTTGAGCCTCTCTTAGCACATCTTTTGAGTCCATTTGAGTTGTATTTCATGCCTAAATTTGCTATTTTGGCCACATGTTATTGGCCGATGTGGTTCACACCAGGTCAGCAGTAGTAGATTGATCTAGCTGAGGCTTTCAACCCTCATACAAGGGAGCCCCTGACCACATCAAGGTGCTTGCACTCAAAATGGGAATGATTGCTGGTTTATCAATTAAACTTGAAAAAAAAAATCTCATAATCACTTTTAATCATTTTAAACTCGCACTGCAATCTCCCGGGCTTCATCAATTAACCCTCTGACTGCTCAATATGTGGACCGAAATCGCTTCCAAATTTTTTTTTTTTTTTTTTTTTTTTTTTACATATTTTAAATCTATATATATTGGAGAATTAAAAAATGCACTTTTTTTTTTTTTTTTTTTTTTTTCTAGAAAATATTTTTTATATAGATTTTTATCATGAGAATTTAAGTTTCCAGAAAAACCAATTTCATATATTATCACCAAAAAAAAGTGTTTTTTAAATAAATTTCAGTCGAATTACAGTTAATTTCTATTTATTGCATAATATAAAAAAGTAAACATGTATCAAGTTTAAGAAAATATAAAGCGCTGAGAGAAAAATACCTTAGAAATGCAGTTTAATATGATAGAGTTCAAAACAGAGTTCAATGCAAAGTCCAACTTCACAGTCTTTGCACCAGATTCAATAAATCTAATTAATAATCACTCTAATCAATAAATCTAATTAATAATTCATTAATTTAATTAAATAATCAAGATAATCGCTGAACGTTTTCTAGCAGCCATTTCTGTAAGAAAAAAAGTGGCAAAAAGTGAAGTTTGAGCGCTAATACCACGTACCTTCAAATGCCGCAATTTAGTGGGCAACTAACGATATCCGTTGGCCAAAACGTAACCTAAACGCCTAATACTGTATATAATTTATTTCAATGGTTAAACGGGGAAAAAAACGTTATGCGCACCTCAATAAAGGAAGAAAAACATATGCCTGCTCAAATCGCGGGATGAGCAAATTTTGTTGCGTTTGAGTTGCCCGTGGAAATCGTTGGATGATCAGCCAGAGGGTTAACACCTTCAAGACCTTGCCTGCATTTTTATGCTTTTAAAATGTCTGTCATTCTATTATTTAAATATAGATATAACAGATTACTTTAAGCAGAGTGAGTAAACGCATATAAAATAAATTCACACAAATATACTTGTAGTTGGCATGTAAAAAAAAATTTTTGCTTTCTGTTCCAACTGTGAGATAACTTGGAAGTCTATAAGCCATGCTTACCCATTCTGTGCATTCATGCAGAACTCCTGTGATACACTTATTATGTTGTGATACACTTATTATGTTGTGATTTTTAAGAAGACACCACAAACAAGTTAATTTTCCTCAAATTAATCATAATATATCAAGAACAAATTGCATTGTGTTTTATATACCAAAATAACCACGTGTTGATGACTGGTGAAAGAGTCATGAAAAATAGATAAGGCAACATGAAATAATAACATACACATTTTTCCTTAAAATAAATCAGTTTTTATATTTTTAAAGGCTAACATTTTTATAAATACAACATTATTAGATCTCTAGCTCCTGGGAGAAAGGTAACCTGTTACACTGCTTTTACAAATTATTGCATAGTCCAATTTTCATTAAAAAAATATATTAATTTCTTAACATGCTTTCTGCTATGGACCAAATAATATATGAAATGTAATTAAATTCACAAGAGATACACTGTCTCGTAAATTTCCACATTTTATATTCTTCCATAGGAACAGAATAAATTTACGATACTTAATTCACAAAGAACCTCTTGCTACCATAATTATTATGTAATATTTTAAAATTAAAAATACTTAAGTTTACATATTTGTAACTGCTACTGGAAGCAGAAAAATTTTCTCTTCAATTTAAAAATGCTTTCAAGTCAATAGCTAAATTGGACTTATAGCAATTTATTTAACAAATTTATTTTACAATCAACATACTACAGTAAAATATGAGATGTCGTTTATTCCAAGGTTCCCATTTTGGAAAATATGCTGTTAATCTTTTTGCAAGCCTGTGAGCATCACCCTTCCATTTTGCAACTAGAATTGTCAGCCGATCGGCTTTATCCCCATTAACTAAATATGTATCTGCCTCCACCTTTGTCTGAAGTGCTGAGAGATTTATCCATGAACACTTTTCATCTTGTGCTCCTGAATGCTACTTCGGACTGAAGAGTGATTCCAGAATTTCCAGTTTCCTTCCCCGTTGATGATTACTAGTATCCCACTGATAGACACTAGCTGTAGTTTTCTCTAGTTTTCGCTTGTTCCTCCTCTTCGGTTCATGTCAGGCGAGGCTGCGGGCAGTTGCTTCTGAATTTTTGAATTAATATCTCAAATAAGTGATTTCTTATGTGAATTATTTTGTAATATTTAACTTTGTCATCAATATTGTTTTGCAAAAGGCAGTTAATAATGTTAAATTAATTAACTAAATGAAGTGCAATAGTACTTAGTTAAAATTAAGTTAATTTAGTTAATTCAGTTATTAATATGTAAACTTAAATTAAGTATTTTTAATTTCAAAATATAGCGTGAGTATTTAACCAATTCCATTGCCTTCCAACAGCGAGTTCAGAAAAAAATGAGTGACATGAACATACTTACATCTTAAGTACAAAAACCCCAATTAAATTAAAACAAATTAGCACAGAGATTAAATAAAAATACACACTGTGTAGCATAATTTGGAATATAAATAGATTAATTTTTTGATAAGTCATAAATTACTTAATTATCTTAATTTTGCTACACGACATACTATTTTCCATTAATCTTACATTACATAATCTTGCAAATCACTGAACAAGAATTTGAGCAGTCCATTTATAACATTTCTTAAGTGAATAAAGCAGCAAAAAAAAAAAAAAAAAAAAAAAAAAAAAAAAAAAAAAAAAAATGGGGGTTCTAAATATTTAGTTATTATATCTACATTTTAAGAAATAAATGATCCATTTCAGCATACCAAGTATTATTAGTCTCTTCCTGCATGCAAAACACTGAAACATAGCATGCATTTGCTACAGCAGTACTCATATTCAGTGATTTTGTTTAATTGTTATTAATTATCTTTATATATTGTACAAATCAAAAGGTTATTTGTTTGATATATCTGTACATGTTATATAATTTCTAGGTCTTTTAAGTCCGCTTTAAGCAATATGACTTACAGAGAACGCCAGAGTGTTCAAAAAAATGATGGAACGTTAATGGTTTGTATTCATTAAATATTGTAACTTCTGTAATTAGTTACATTTATTTTTGTTAATGTTCTCTTTTATGTAGGACATAGTTAAATGTGACATGTTCTCTTTTATGTAGGACAGAGCATACCTAAAAGATCTTATGAATGAACTTATAACTTCTGTACACAGCATTTCTTTATGGAAGCAAGAATACAAAGATCATTACACAAAAGTTGTTTTAGGTTGTGACATTGTTGACTGGTTGATGGCTCATAACAGCAGTTTGACAAGGTATGTTGTCACATATAGTCAAATTTTATTTTTGTAAATTTTCGTTTCCTATCTGAGGAATTCATTTTCAACATACACTGTAGTTGACCTTAGAGAGCATGGATTTCAACTACACAGCTATTTTTATATGTAGAATTCTTTCATTGAATATATGTATGGGAAATATTTTTGGGTTTTGCAACAATAAGTTTCAAACTGTGTAATATAGTACAATACTGAAAAAAATTAAGAAAAATATGGTTGTATCATGATTTTATATAGTGCCTATTCTATTATTTACCTCTGTAAAATATAGGTAAATATATTTTAAAAACTTCTAGGTTTGCATGTCTAGTTGCATCATATAATTTCATACTGATTAAAAGCAGTAAAAAATAGTTAATATAACAAATAGAGTTTTAGGTAACACTTGAATTCTCCATATCATTTGTATGTTCTTCATAATTTCTTAGAATTATTTTCTTTTCTCTAGCTTATTTTATTGTAAGATTACAGTGTTTAGTACATATAGCAGGGAAAATATGTACTGATTACTGTATATGTTATCACTTAAGTTTCAACGTGTTAAAAGTTAAATAGGCAACAACGTGTTAAAACTAAGGAGAATCAAAAGTTGCATGTAAATTTTCAACATTGCAAGGTGCTGATGTTCTTAACCCTTGCTTTGTTCAAAGATCAACTGTGTTGTATTTTTCTTCAATTACTTTAGTTCATACTGTTTTAATGTATTGTTAGTAAATAAAGTTTCTTTTGATGAAATTATGATGATATCTCAGAGCAATATTATATAATATGTTTGTTTAAAAAAATGGTGGAATTTTATTTAGTGACTACTTTTCACTGGCAGTTAAAAACATATATTTAAAGATATCTTATTTGAATATAAAAAATTTTAACGCAGTGCAGTATTGGATGTTTATAATGTATGTGGTAGTTCTCCAATTGAAGGATTTTAAAATAAAAGTAGAAAGTTTTAAGTTGCAGTGACTTCTAAACATTTTGACATCCAAAAGTTAAGCACACAATGCAAATTAGCACTTTTTGAAAGTGTAGTTGAATATGAGTGTCTCAAAATTGTTGCAGATAGCAGTATGCAAATATATTGTTGTGGATTTCAAACATATAGTAGTTTGCCAGTCGTTGAACATGCCAGCATTCTGAAGAGTTTGAGGCGACTCATTTAATTGCTGATACAAAGTATTTGTAACTTCATAATTTTTTATGATGTTCATATTTTTATGGCTGCAAGAAGATGAATGGCAGGTAGGGAGTGTTGGTGTTCTATGGGGTACATTGTAGTAGGACGATCTATTAAAGATTCTCTTTCCTTTGGTGTAAATCATTTGGTAATTTCTTGATTGTGAAAACAACTCCAAACAAACTGAACAGTTGTCTGGAAACATGTGCTTGGTTGACCAAGAGTTGCCAACCCTTCTAAAGATCGGTATATTGCTTAGTAGCCAAACAGAATCAAGGAGAGATCACCACAGCTGTTATCTCCATAGTTGTAACATCCCTTGGTAAGATGATATCTGCTAGTACTGTGTGCCAAAGGCTTCACATGAAGAGACTGTATGCCGTATTTGTGTTAATGTCTGATTTGGTCACATACTTTATTAGCGTAAGTTTTTTGTTTATTTTTAGCTTTATGCATTAATTTGTTAATCACCCAAATGTGACATCATCATATAATTTATGAAAATTAAATACTGTTTTCATTATTTTGCATAAAGCTTGTTTTTTTTCCCCATGCATAAACACATTTACTACCTTCATTTACAATTTGGTATTAATAGAACTGTATTTTTCCATTTTGTTGATTTTACTCTCGCATGCATAACTTTTGGAAGCCACTGTTTATGCAGTGAAATTTTTGTGTGAGTTAGAATTTACATATGTTGTTTCTTGAGATATCTATAACGTTAAGTGTCAGAATACCTAAATGTAAACTTATATTTAGTATTTATAAATCATATTAAATGAAAATTTAAATCCTTTCTTCTTTAAATATTTAACTGATACTATGTTTTCCTTTTCTTTAAATCAGATCTGATGCAATAAATATAGGACAAGCTTTTATTGATGCCCAACTCTTTGAATGTATAATGCCTCAGCAATTAAAATTTATTGATGGCAATGTTTTCTATAAACCAGTGGAGGTAAGTGTGTAAATTCAGCTGTACTTTATGAGTTAATTATGGAAGGAATAATTATGTCCATTTATTTTATCATGAGAAGTGTCAGTTAGTTTGGAAACTTAATATTAAATTATAATTGAGTGATTTCATCAGTCTTTTTTCTGCCCAATTCTGTCTTTTTTCGCTTTGAGCCAGATTGTCATTCTCTCCCGTCCCAAGAATTTATTATTCAAATGATACATTCCAAGCATATGAAATGGAAAATATTTATTTTAGGTCACTGCATTGGTACCTTTAAATTTGTAAGTTATGATATTTATTGATTTTTAAATTGCTATTGTATTTGATAAATATGAATGAAAAATTATTTCCACTGACTACTTTTAATGGCATTTACATGAGACCTGAATTGAACATTTTCAGTCTTCTTAAGGTATAAGATTCCAATCACATTGTAGCTGGTCTGAGTTTATTGTTCCAGCTGGAATTTGTGAATATGAGATCAAATTGACTCTCTCTTGAAAACTCTCAAAAATTAACATTTTTTTTCCAGTTGAGCAATCCTGCTAAAAACAGTTCATTTATGAGATGTGTCCAAATTTTGTTTAATAAAGTCTTTTAATTATTTTTAGAATAATTATTAATTCAAGAAATCTAAAGCTTCTGAACTTAGTCACCTTGTAGACGAGCAATATTTCCCTCACATTGATGCCATAATTGCATTTCTGTAGTAAGCACTTCTTTAGGGGTTTATTTAAACCACTGGAAAATTATTGATATAAAAGTAGAACTCTTTGAAAATTTCTTATAATGAATAGTGTTCAATAAGCACTGGAGCCAAAAATAATTAAATAGGATGTCAAGTGAATACAAAACTTAAGTAAAAACTTCAAAGTTGTTAATATTAAGAAACTTCTGATCACAAGATGCTCAATCATTAGGAGTATTATCTTAATAGAAGAACACAAGTGCAGTGTATTAAAACCATTTTTCTTGCAAAGCTGGCTAAAATTTTGTTTTCAAGATATAGCTATTCGTTTCAGCCATGCAATTATGTTATCTGATTGGTTGATTCATCACCTTTTTTGATTTGCTTTCCTTCAACATTGGATTTTCTTCGAGTTGTCATATCCACAAGTACACATTTTTTTCCCATCCTGATGCCATTATTACATTTTTCAATTATTTGATGATAAATTTCAGTTAGCTTTAATTCCATTACAAGTGGGAAAAACAGAAAATCACACTATAATACAAATCTAGAAACTCTCATTGCCAGTTGTATCATCAGCTCATCTTAAAAAATGGTCATATCTTTTAAAACAATTCCTGGCAATTCTTCTGTATGCTTCTGTTTGTGATGGAAAAAAAAGTGAGAAAACATTATGACTTGAATGTATTTCATATTTCAATAGCAAAAGCCATAATATGTGCAATATGTTTTTAATTTAACAGAAAATTAAAATATTAGTTAGATTTCAATATTTGTAGATGTTCTTAGCTTCCTTGATGTTTTGATGTATCTTTGAACACAAAGATAAAGTTTTTGTCATCAGATTTAATTGTGATTATATAATTTTTTTCTTCCTCATGTTAATTACTCTTGCAATTAAGCTAAATAAATAAACTTGTAATGAAGAGAATGGGCTGCTGTGTATGCAATAAATCAGCTTTTCTAGTAGCTCTTCTTTATGTTTGCATTAATGTTTGTTACTAATTTTATATTGCAATTTTTATAGCTGCCACAGTTTGAGGCACCTATACAAACAGATAATGTGAATGAAATTCAAGAAAGCATGGAACCTTTATGGGTAAAAGAAATACAACCATCTGATAATTACATAGTTAAAGGTATGTCATATGTCATTAAACTTGTACTGATTCAATCTTACTGTGTCTTGCCAAGTTATATTATGCAGAGTCATTAAAAAAAGGCAGGCCTGATTTTAAATCGCTGTAATGTGCTTTTTTATAAATCAGTCATCGTATTTTTTACACAAAAATAATTAGAAATTTTGACTGTAGAAACAGGTCAGATGAGATAATCTTGACGAAAACCTTGATCAGTAGTAATGGCACTGTCGTCCTTAGTCACCCAGTTTGTACGATGATAGCAACTGAAAAAAAAAAGACATAGCCTTTGTTGTACGATATGTGGAATTTAGATGATAGTAATTAGGAATTTAAAGCTTTAAATGTGTATAACAAAGTTTTTAGTTTATTTTATGTGAAACAACTATCCATTGCAAAATGCATCATTTAATGCTTTTGCTTTAATCATTTTAGTCTTATGCAGCATATGTGTATAAACACAATATTATTTTGATATTTGCAGGAACACCAACAGAACTTGTGTTGAAATTTATTAGCTATATGTTAAAAATTTTGAACTTTTATGTTTACTTTTAAAACAAGTCTCCTACTTCTACACATTTCCATTCCTAACAAAGAAGAAATGAGGAGAACTCGTATATTCAATAGCAAAAGCCATAACATATATAATATTTTGAAATTTAATGGAAGATGCTTCAAATGCTTTTTCTAATAAATGATTTAAAATCAACTCTGCCCTCCCAATGACTTTGTATGTTAACCTATATTGGTTTAATGACTTTAACAAAATGTATGCTTCTGTTTGTGAATGTATGTTGTTTCATTTTATCTGTCTGTATTAAAAAAAAAAATGTGTTTTCAATATCATAAAAATTCAGAGTAAGATATACTTTTCATTCAGTATTGACATATGCTGTGTTCAGATATTTTTTAAAGAAATGGATGTGTAAAGTATATACATATATATTTATGCGTTTACACATGCGCAGAAAGTTTGTAGCTTTGAGGTCCGAATTGTAGATCATTCCGGATTATAGACGCCTGGATTAAAGACTTTTGACTGTGTATGTATATATACAGTATAGATTCCTCCCTTACAAAGTCTAGGAATTGAAAATATAATACTCAATAAAAACAAACAATTATACTGTCATCGTTGTTTATCTCTTAACTAAGATATCTGCATGTGATTTTCAAACATCTGCTGTCTGGGGAGGAGTCACATCAAGGCATTTGATACAGTACAAATTCCATAATCCGGACTCGTCGGGACTTCGGCGATTCCGGATTAGGGGTTTTTCCGAATTATAGATCACCAATTTAAATCTGGTAAGATGGCATGCAGAAATTATACAATTAAAAATATGAAACCGTAATTTATAAAATAAAGAGCAATTATGATTTGTGTATCAAATTTTACAAAAAAAGCTTAATATTTATTTGTGTACTTTATTAAACATTTCTATCAATGTAAGTTGTTTAAGTAGGTTTTTTTTTTTTTTTTTTTTTTTTTTTTTGTGCTAATACTTTTTTTTTAATTCTATAAACAGACATAATTTCTTGTTCATTTACAAAGTTCCACTGTTCAAGTCCTGTAATTGCTGTGTCGAGAATACCAACTAACTCGTCAATAGAAATTTTTTCGTTTTCAGTTATCTCTCTGTAACTTTCTTCACTATCGGAAGCTTGAGGGTAAGCGCTTTACGTGCATGCGTAGCAGATGCGCACATTAAACGCGCATGCGTAAGTTTGTGGCTTTAAGGTCCGGATTATAGATCATTCCGGATAATGGATGTCCGGATTACGGACTTTGTACTGTATCTGTGTTTTGCAAAGCATTTGAAGTTATTAACCAAATACTTTTGGACCAAATACATTTGGATTTTATAGCAAGTTTTAGTCATTTGTGCTAAGTACTCCAGAGTCAAATATATATTACGAAGAAATAACATTCTAAAAGTTTTGTTTGTGAGAAATATCAAAACTTTGAGAAAATACTTGTGAATATTTTAGGGTTTTTTTATTTTAATTAACCATTTATTATGATTTAGACCTTTACTGTCACTTCTCCTTTCCATGTCCATGCCAGAATGTATATTATCTTGCTTGAATGTAAAAATTGAGTTTTCTTAATTGTAATACAATGTGTTCTGCCTCTCAAGGCAATGTTACTAGTTGCTGCTGGCTCAGAGTATCAGGACTTGTATTTCTCTTGATTTGCTTTGGAAACATGAATGGTCCTGAATAGGAACAGGGAGCTTACTCAAGCTATGTTCAGGAAGGTGTGAAATAGACAACACAAGCAGGAAGGGTATACGAAACCCTTTATTTTCTTATCTTTACAGGTATTTCCGAAACTTCGGAATACAGAGACCAACCACTTGTGGTCTGAACGTAAGAATATAAAAGCTACTAACTAAAACTCTAACTAAAAACTAACTTTGAATTAGTATACAAATGCCTAGCACTAAGATTGGCCTTTATTTAAAAAAGGTACGTATGTAGTACGCCGAGCTGCTAAAACTATGATACGTCTGCAATTATCAAGAGAGCTAAACCTCTGGCCTTAAAGGCAACCAGCAACAGAGTGAAAACTCGTAAAACTACAGTGGCAAGCGGCTTGCTTCTTATAACTCCTTCCTCTCTTTCTCTTGGCAAAAAGCCACAACTTAAGCACTTGGCGTTAGCAAGACAATTTGCATAAACAAGTTAAAGCATTTAATTCTGGCCGGAAGTAGAAAAATAAGAAGTGATAGTACAGTTTTAAAGTAAAACAACGTTAGTAAAACTTAGGATCCTTACAAGAGAAGCTTTTGTACATCTTCAGCCTTGCATTATAATTGCTGATATTTAATTATCCATGCTGGTTAGGTTGTAAATCAACTTCGTGTTAAATTGATTTGTGTAACTTTCGACTACTAGCTTACTTGAATTTAAATTTTACATTTGACCATTACTTTAAGTAACTAAGTCACTGTTATAATAGTTTTGCTCTGTGTTTTGTATAAATTTCTTCTAAAATGGTACTTCTAAAGAACAGGATTAAAAGCAGTTGTATTCTGAATTAGCTGGTTTGATAGCAGTCGCATTTTATAAATGCAAGATCATCGTTCAACAAAAATGAGCCAGCTTCAAGCATAATTCTTAGGGTGTCAATTTCTGAAGAAATTAGCTGTTCTCATAACTTAGCTGAGCAAAATGCCTCCATGGGCAAAGGTAATATACTAAACTATAATAATTGCTGACAATAAGTGTACTGAGGAGTGGATTTTTGATATCTCAGATTCATCCAAATAAACTGGCACAATATGTATATTAGAAAGGCAGTAATCTAACAGAATCTGGCATCTGGATATCTAGTGTGAAGCATGGTGGGAGGTATATGAATGCTGAAATAATTTTTTTTTTAAATTGTTGTTTATATTTTATCTCTATAATTTTACCTGTATAAGACTAGCTTATGACATGTCTACATTAAGTTTGTGAAGGATTGTTGTTAATTTTCAAACTCATTTCTTATTTTTTCATCTAAATGTCATGTGTTTGCTTTTAATTTTTCTTTGTATCTCACTGCTGCCATACTTACAGTGGCTCACAGAATGATTGGACACTTTTAATTTTTGTATTCTTTAACATAAAAACTAAAATAAAAAGAAAGGCTTTTATTTGGACTTTACGAAAATTCAGCATTTTTGAAAAGATTAAAATTAAATTTAAAAAATCAATATCGTTTGTTTAATGAGGAAAAATATTCTCACAAAAATAATCAAACACTTTTAGTAACAGCCAAAAATGACAAAATCTTACATTGTTTTTGCTTCTTAATATCTTGTGGGATTATCATTAATCTTTTGTGCATTGACTTCACAAGTTATTTTTGTCGTCGTTATTTTGGACTTAATGTATGTTACTCCTCTTGAATCACTGCTTTTAATTGCTGCCCCAAAGATATGCTGTGTTTTTGAATTTTCAATGCTGGTTTTTACCAAATATGTTCAATAGAATTAAAACCTGGGCATTAGGGTGGTGCCTTAATTACTTCTGAACACTTATATAACAGTCACGCTCTAACAATGTGCACAGTGTGCTTTGAATCATTGCCCTGGTAGAATTTGAAACTATTTTGAACAGTAAGTTTTTGTGCTGACGATGCCAAATTTCACTTCAAGATGTCAAGGTACTTATACTGATCCATAATACCATCCATAAACTCTATACTACCAACACTGGAATGTGGCATAGATCCCATACTGTAACTCCTCCTCCTGTGTGTATAGCACTTGGTGTTAAGTTTTGCTTTCGAAACTCTTCTTTGAGTTTCCTACACACCAGCACTTGTCCAACTGAGCAAAAAATGTTAATTTGCTTTCATCAGCAAACAACACTTTTTTCCAGCAGTCAGGTGTCTTTTGTTTCATCAATTTTCATAACAATTTTAAGAGCACTCATTGTTGGATTCTTTTTAATACTGCTTAGGATAAAGCATTTCATTCCATCAGATAACTTAGTCTTACAGGTCTTCTTTTGTTTGAATACAAAACGTTCTTATCTGAAAAAAATATGTTTCTTATAACGCTTAATAGTATCAAAAACTGTAGAATTACTTAAATTATGTAAATAGGCCATTTTTCGAATAAGTTTCCATTTCTTTTGATGCAGATCAAAAATTAATCTGCAGGTTTTTAGTGTTGTTTCCTTTCGTGGTCAAAAAATAATTTAAAAAAATTTTTCTTTTAAATCTCAAAGGCTTAAGATCTTAAATAACATCCAAAGAGGCATTTTTTAACATTTTGTGCATTACCTTTATTTATTAAATATTATGTTCTTTGCACTTAAACCATAAAATTCAGTTCAAGAGCAATATCGCAAAATAATTTTATAATGAGCATATCTTCAGAATTTCTGATACATGGTTTCGCGTGCTGGAGATGAAAACTTTTTTTCTGTACTATGGTGCTATTGCTCGCTTTGAAATCCTTCAATTTGTTAATCAAAAATACAAAATATGAAATCGATAA